GTAGTATTTTTTAAAAAGTTATTTTGGGTTTTTTTTTTTTTTTACTTCAGGCCCTGCCAATAAATCTAAGTATATAAATATTTGATAGTCATATTTATAAAAACCCAGTTTTGTTTAGTGCCTCAAAAATTGTAACATAAAACAGGGTGTACTTATGCATACAAACAAATCCTTAGAACTATATTAAACTCTTCCATGAAATACTGGAGCATTTGTTAGTCTTCAAGAAGAATAATTTTTTTATATTCCTCATACTGTAAAATTGGAATGAAAAGTTGTACTTCCCAAACAAGGAAGTAAACCTCAAGCAATGTTAATTTAAGCCCATTGGAAGAACAGGTGCAAAATAGACTTTGCCATATTTTGAAAGTGAGTGATTAAAGGAATATGAGAGCAAAGTAGGAGCCTTATTTTCAAGTTCTGGAAAATATTACAAATTATAAGTGACCTTGTTGATAAGGCACATAATTCACTTACAAGAGGCAAGTGGTGTACATTTGAATAACAAGGTAACTTTTACCCTTAAACCTCTTTTTACTGAATTGTAGGTATATAACTCTTCTGAGAATGGAAAAATAAGGTGTGGAGCAAATGTGGAAGGGACCTGGTGGAAAAGACAATGGCAAAACAGAATTCAGAAAGTTTATAAACATGGATGTATAGCTTGTTTTTTAGAAGGTATTGAAGGAGAAGAATTTTATAACCTATAAAGTTTATAAGGCCATTAAAACCAAACAAAAGATAATTGGGACGGGTGGGCTTAGTAAGAATATACCTAAACGGATACATGCAGATATTGCAATTATAAAATGATCTGAATTATTGTCCTCTTCTCTCTACTTGTTTACTTAGGAAAGGATGACACTGATCAGAGAGAAGAGCACTGTTCCTAATGCCATAGTGAGAGTTGCTATAGGAAAGCGTTTCATGGTGTTGCTTTCTAGTTTTCCACAACTTTGTTTTGAAGTAAATTGCCTATTTGCAGCCTGTCACCTCTACATCCAGCTTTCTTTTCCCTTCATCTAAACAAAGTTTTTTTTTTCTTATTTTTTTGTTGTTGTCTAATTTTAATCCTACATACTTTCAATCTAAAGTCACATTCTTCAGTTCTGGAAATTTCTCCGCCATTATCTCTTTGAATATTGTTTCTGCTGTGATCTGAGTGAATTCCTCAATACTGTCTTCCAATTCGTTAATTTTCTTTTTAACTATGATACATCTGGAGTTATACCATCTATTGA